GTCCTTCCACTCTTTTGACAACTTTGTCCCATCCCTCAAACAGCACGATGTTCATCTCTACCAAGAGAGAATCCATAACAATGGACTCTGGGATTAAGGTTACACAAAGAATATAGGAAGAAAAAAAAGCCAGCAAAATTAACCAATACTTTGAAAATGTCCAATGTTATTGTTAGTATTCCACACCTGTACTAAGAGTAGGGGGAACTGCCTTCTCTCATACCTCTTTTTTGAGGTCAAGGGTGATCATTACAATTTCACAGTATTTGAACTGTCTTATTGCTGTTAGTAACTGTTTTCCTGCTTTTGCTCACTTCACTTTGTAAGAGTTTCACTTAAGACTGCCAAAGTAATTTTCCTAGGGTAGATTTGACTGTGTGACAACTCTACTTGAATTCCCAAATTCTCTTGAAGACACCATATCTCTTGGCATTCTCTCCCAAACTGGCTGCTATTTCCTTCAGATCCTTAATACACGAGGCCAGGACAAGAAGCTGGCATATAACCTTACTGATACTTTCAAACCCCTCCTCTACCACTGGCACTCATTTCTCCTCCTTTACAGTTTAAAGTTCACTCTATAAGGTAAAATCCCTCTTGCTTTCTGCTAGAGCATGGACCTCCACATCACTTCTCCTCCCTAATAAGTTCAGTATCTGGCTCAGTCTTCTTCATACCAACCCCTGCCCTACTTGAGTATCTTGTACAGCCTTATGATTTCTCAACTTCCAATGGCTTACCCCCAGTCTGCCTCAAGCAAACGAGTGATTATGTATCTGATTCAGAATCCCCAAACTTTAACTAAATTTGCCTTGGGTAGGGGAATTCTAGCTCCGTGTTTGTGTCTTTGTTATAAAGTAAGTTTATGATAGACATTTGTTGCTTGGTCATTTCAGTTGTGTCCAACTCTTCATGAGCCCTATTTTGGGTTTTCTTGGCAAAGATACTGGAGTCATTTGACATTTACTTCTCCAGATCATTTTACAGATAAGAAAACTGAGGTAAACAGGGTTAAATGACTTGCCCAGGGTCACACAGCCAGTTAAGTGTCTGAGGCCACATTTGAACTTAGCTGTTCCTGACTCCACGCCTGGAGCTCTATCCACTGCACCATCTAGCTGCCCCTTATAGTGGACACAAGGTGAAGAATAAGACATCTATATTTGACATGGCCAATAATCATATTTGTTTTCCTTGATTATGCATATTTGTTACAATGGTTTTGGTTTTGGTTTTTCCCTTTTCAGGAGGGGGGGGTTGGGAGGAAGTGGGAAGGAGAGAAAATAAATTTTTGTTCATTGAAAAGAATTAAATTAAATTACTAAAAAGTGAACTTTCTAAGGGATTTTCCTCTCCCTCCATCTTTCTTTGAGCCACTCCGCCAAAAAGAAAAAAGCAAAGTACCTGAGACAACATTGATCTATTGAGACTTTTAAAATAATACTCTAGTTAAAGCAACAGAAGTAGAATAATTTATACAATAACAACAGTATCATAAATACAAAATTCTGAAAGACTTTATAATTCTGATGACCAACCATAACTGCTGAGGACCAATAATAAAATCTACCTATCTCCTGACAGAAAGGTAAAGGATACAAGATGCAGAGAAATTTTGAGACATGGCCAAAGGGGGAATTTATTTTGCTTGACTATATTTGTTTTAAAAAGGGTTCTCCCCTTTTTTTTTCTAACTAGGAAGAGGTAGGAGGGAGAGGGAGCATAGCAATCAAACTGCTAAAAGATAAAGCAAAAGAGGGTCACTGAAGCATTTTTTGAAATGCACAGAAGAGAACAAAGGAAGGCAGGAAGGAAACAGACATGCGGGACATTTTGAAAGTTACATGTTTAATTTATTACGTACTTAAAAGGAAAAATAAGCTATATTTAATAAAAATTCATAGTTTTATGTACAATTCTCTCTGTTCTACTTTGTATATAGAAGTGATTGTATTATTTTGTATTTGTTGAGTTCAGAATAAAAACAATTTTAAACAATAAAAACAAATAGTATTTGAATGACCGAAAGACATATTTAGCTGAGACTAAATGTCAGGACTGGTTTGTTTAAAAACAATACACGGTGCTTTCTGGCTGCTTATAGAGTTTGAAATAAAATAGGATTGTAGATAGTTCTCCCCTAAACAGGGGAGAATATCTGACAGATTACTGACCAGATTATTTGAGATATTAATGAGGGAGTTTATGAGAGGCTCCCTTGAGAGCATTTCAAAACCGTATCTAATAACTTAAAAGCCTAGCTTCAGTTCTAAAAATTATTAGTTTAATCTAAGAATATATCTTATATTAAGAAAGTAGTCTGGGGACAGCTAGGTAGCGCAGTGGATACAGCACCAATCCTGAAGTCAGGATGACCTGAGTTCAAATCCGACCTCAGACCAAACACTTGACACTTACTAGCTGTGTGACCCTGGGCAAGTCACTCAACCCCAATTGCCTTAAAAAAAAAAAAGAAAAGAAAAAGTAGTCTGATGCAAGGTAAAAAGTGGTTAGCAAGCCCAACCAATTTCTTTCTCTTTTTCATCATCACCTATTCTGTAGATAACAGGCTGGGCTGTCTTTGGAAAGAGAGTTGTGAGGAGGCAGAAGGTCGGGATAGGTAATGTTTCATCTATTTGGCCAACCTGGACAGGCAATTCTGGGAGAAGGAATCTTTAGGGAATTTAGGCATCTTTTTTCTTCCACTTGTTATATATGTAAAAGGCTACAAATATTTCTCCTTTAAGAAATTACCAGACCTATGCCAGGAAAATCAAAGAAGTAATCATCTAAATTATTATAGACTTAGAACTGGAATGAGAACATTCAAGGTCATCTAATTCAATCCCTTCACATTACAGGTAAGGAAACACAGAAAGATTAAATAAGCTTCTGTCTGGCTATACATAACAGATTTAGTTTCCTATGCAATCCACTTATTTTTTCTTTTCTACTTTGAATATGGAAGTACAGCTCTGTAGTAAAGATATATTATGGATTGGGATTAAAACCTCCAACCTGACTTCAAATCCAGAGCTCTTTCACTATATTATACTACCCCTGAATCTATTTTCCAGGTAAAGTTCATTATCCAGGTAAATTACATCACTGTACCTTCAAAAAAGTTGGCATTTGGCTTATATGACAACTCATATTAATTGAATACTTTTGTCACAACAATCCACAAAGGTAGGTAGTGCAAACAATATTAATGTTCATTTTATAAAGGAAGAAACTAAAGTTCAAATATGCAAAATGAAGTTTATCAGCATATAACTATTAAGTGGCAGCACCAGGGCTTTAATGCATTTCTTCTGATTCCCAGGAAAGCACTGCACTTTCTCTGTCCCAGGCTTCCCAATGCTCCAGGCCTCTCCCTAGTAGCAAGTTAACAATAACTCTGGGAGTAGGAACCCATTGCTTATCAAGCAAACTGAGTCCTAGTGCAAGCACTGCCCCACCTAACTTTGTGACTTTGGTCATCAGTTTCTCCATCTGTAAATTAAAGGGGAAGAGGACTCAATGATTCCCAAGATCCAACACTGGTATTACTCTGTCATCGAACCCTTTAAGATTCACACCCAAACAGGGTTCTGTGTAGGTGTGTATTTGCCAGTTAGGAAAATTAAGCTTCTCCAAACTTCCAAAATATTTAGCAATTACCAAAGGTTTTAAACAGCAAATACATTTGGCAGCGTCCAGCTGTCCCTGCTTTTGTCATTAGGGCAACCTCCTTCTGCAGGGCTAGACCAAAAGATGAGAAAAAAGTGACTTGAGGAACTTCAGAAAATGAAGTATAAAGTTTTCAGGTTGGTGGAAAAAAAAAGAGGGAAGAAAAAAATCCCATTATGTTGCAGCAACACCAAGCTGGGGTGGGGTGAGTGTGGGGGTGGGGAGCAGCAATAAAGTAACACCTCCCCAGATCTGTTGAAACCTTTCAAAAAGGCTGTGCTAAGATATATAGTTCAAAGCTTGTGGCAACAGTAGTTCAACACTATGCCAATGATTCTCAACTCTACCTCTCTCGTCTCAAACTTTCTATGAACCTCCAATCTCTCATCCACAACTGCCTTTCCAACATCTCAAACTGGATCTCCAAGAGATATTTTCAACTCAACATGTCCAAACTTGAACTCATTTTCTTTACCCTTAAATCTAACCCTCCCTATTACAAGAGAGGCAATACCATCCTTCCAGACCCTCAGGCTCCCAACTTTGGTGTTATCCTCAACTCCTCACCCACACCCATATTCAATATGTTGCCAAAGCCTGTCGATTTTACCTCTGCAACATCTTTCCATTGTGCCCCCTTCTCTCCTCTGACACTGCCACCACCCTAGAGCAGGCCCTCAACCCTGAAGGCCTAGACTATTGCAGAGGCCTGGTGGGTCTTCCTGCCTCAAGTTCTGCCCACTCCAATCCATTCTCCTCCATTCAGTTACCAAAGTGATTTTCTTAAAGCCAGGTCCCATCATATCACATTCTGCCCCTCCCCCCCCCAAATCCCAGGGGCTCCCTCTCACCCCCTGGATCAAATACAAAATTCTGTTTGGCATTCAAAGCCCTTCATCAGCTAGCCTCCCTCTGCTTTCTGGTTTTCCTCCCACCTACTCTTTGATCCAGTGACACTGGCCTCCTGGCTATTTCAGAAACAAAACACTCCATTTTTTTCTTGTTATCCTTTGTGTATTGAACACTCTGCCTCCCGACCTCCCAGGCTTCCTTCAAGTCCCAACTAAAATCTCATCTTCTACAGGAAGCCTTCCACACCCTCTCTTAATTCTAGCGCCTTCCCTTTGTAGGTTACTCCCTATTTATCTTGTATATAGCTCACGTGTACATATGTTTCTTCACTGTCTTCCCCATTAGATATTAAGCTCCTTGAGGGCAAGGACTGTCTTTTTTTCTTCCTTTTGTATGCCTAGGGATTAGCCTAGTGTCTGACATATAGCAGGTGCTTAATAAATAATCCTGATTCACTAATTTAACACCATCTAGGTATGGACAAGAAGTCAGCTCTGGCCAGGTTCTTTGGGGCGTTTGCTCCTTCTGTCCTCCCCAGCTCCCAATACCCCGTGAGTACCACCTCGTTAATCTCGAGAACTGAGATCTTCCCCGTCGCACAAGGATTCTCCCTCAACCGGAGCAAAAGCACTAGGATAGATGCACGTGGCTCACGACACAGAGCATTCGAAGGCGCCTGCGCGTCCACCGGGAGGCCAGCCGGAGGAAGGGCAGGCGTACAAGAGGCGGGGCTAGAGGCACGATGCGTGAGGGGCGGGGCAAGGAGTCACGAGGGCGGCGCGGGAAAGCAAACGGTCGTAGGCCGTCGTTGTCGCGAGCGAGATGGAGAGGGTGTCCACCGGTGGAGCCCTGATGGTGGTGCACTGTGTGTGTCTGTTCTGGTCGGTCTTCGCGGTCACCCAGAATGTGGGGCTGACGAACGACCTATACCTGGAGATGAAAAGAACCTTCGGAAGCCCCTGGAAGTACCTGACTTTTCTCAACCAGGTTTGGGGCGTCAGGGGCCCGTCTTAACTCTTTCCGCCGCAGCCATTTTTTCCCCCTTTCCCAACATCGGTAGTAATTCAGGGACTCGAAAAGACGCAGCCCTGTGTTTAACCCAGCAAGTGCGGATCAAGTGGCTACTAGTTGTAAGGCTGTGGGAGCTGGAAAAAAAAAAAGAAAAGAAAAAAAACCGTGCTTGCCTCTTCGCCCCCGGAAGGATTGGAGTAGGGTCCTTACATTGCACTAGAGAAAAAAGACGGCACGAAAGGGAAAGCGGGGTGGTTCAGTGGGAAGCACTGTCTGCTGTCAGGGGCACCACCTCTGACCTTTACTACCTGTGTAACCTAGGGCAAGTTATTAACACCTCCCTGGACCTCACCTTCTCCATCTGTAAAATAAGTCTAGATGGGCTCTGAGGTTCCAGTTGCTAGCTCTCTGATCTTATCATTCAGATAGGTAAATGCAAAGTGACTGGAGAAGGGAGAGGGCACCAACCTCTGGAAGATGAGGAAGGGATTCATGGAGGATGATCCTTAGCCCTTAGAAACTGTCATCCCTTCCTGAGGTTATGGCTGGATGAAACTTCTCATTTGCTCGCTTTTCCCCAGGCTGTGTGAGATGAGGCTCCAGCCACTACTGAATCTTCCTCCTTAGTGTCATAACCTACTCCTCCTGGCCTGATATTGTTGGTAGAGTTCTGGACTTCAGTCCAGGGAGTTCAAAATGTAGGACGTTTAAATCAAAATACTCTTCTCCCTTACCTCCCTTACAGCTTACTAGCTGTGTGGCCCTGGGCAAGTCACTTAACCTCTTTAAGTCTCAGTTTCTTCATCTGTAAAATAGGGATAATATACCCTACTACAGAGTTGTAAGGATCAAATAAAAGAATGTATGTAAAACCTTTGCAAAGCTTAATTTTTGCATTCATGACACTTAAAAATGTCATGAAAATGTCAGTTATTATGACTAAGGGACTCTCTTCAATCTAGACCAGCTTCGTATGAAGTTTAATTGGCCCTGAGAGACTCAAGAACTGGAAGGTGTTTGTCTCTCTGTCTCTCAAAACCCTATGATCAAGGGCAAGTCATTTAACCTTTTTGAAGCCCAGTTTCTTCATCTGTGAAATGGGGAAAATAGTACTTTTTGCACCCCCTACTTCATAAGGTTATGTGGAAAGAATTTTGTAAACCAAATAAATATGAACTGTTACTATCTAGTGCAGGGCTGCCAGAAGATTGCAAACAGCAACTGAGAATTTATTCTTTTAATATTATGCCATTGTTTGGCTTCTGTTTTTCAAACCACGTAACTACCTAGAATCAAAGGCCCTCCATCAGATATTCCCATCTACCACTAACACCTGTGGTTATGTAACTGCCTGCCACATAGAAGGCACTGTTAGAGTTACTAGAAGTACAGAGGTTTTAGAGTATCTGACATTAAAAATATATATATATTCTAGTTGAGGAGGTAAGACATAAAAAATAAACAATACAAGGTATTCCTTGTAGTCCAAGTCCTCATTTTTCTACTAAATCAGGTTTGCAACCTAGGAGTTATCCTCTATTCTTTATTTGCCTTTATAATCCACCCACCTCCATATCCAATTAGTTGCAAATATCTACCTCCACAAAATCTCTCCCATTCATCTTCTCTCCATTCAGCTACAACCATCCTAATTCAGGTCTTTCTCACTTCCTACCAGGACTGGAGCATATAGCCTTCTAATCCCTTCATTCAGTCTCTGCCCTTTCCAGTCCACCCTCTACAAATTTTCCAAATTGATATTCACAGAAAATTTGAGAGTTGGCTTCTGCAGTTATCTAGTCCAATCCGTATCCAAAGGGAATTCTTACTATATCATACCCAACAAATGGTTATCTATTCTCTACTTAAAACCCTCCAAGGCTAGGGAGCCTACCACCTTTCGAGGCCACCCATTCTACTTTTGGTCAGATCTAACTGTTAATGAAGTTTTTACTGACAACAAACCTAAATTTGGTCTTTGTAACTGCCACCCTTCACTTCTAGTCAAACTTGGGACCAAACAGAAAAGTTAAATCCCTTCTCAGCATGATAGCCCTTTAAATACTTGAAGATTGCTGTCATGTTCCCTCTGAATCTTCTGTTCTCTAGGATGAACATGTTCAGTTTCATCAACTGATTGTCATATGTCATGAACTTAAAGCCCTTCACTCTTCTAGTAGTCTTTAGACACTCTCTGACTTATTAATGCCATTCCTTATTGAACTGTAGCAATCAGAACTGAAACAATACTTCCAAGAGAGCTGATGAGAAGAAAGAATAGTGGGACTGTCAGTCTTATTATTTTTGGAAGCTATACTTAATGCAGCTTATGATCACATTAATCACATCTGATTAATATTAAGATTTTGGTCCACTAAAACCCCAAGATCTTTTTAAAACAAATGGCTGTCTAGTGATTGCTCTCCCATCTTATACTTATGAAGTTGATTTTTTGTGATTATTGAGTTTCATCTTCAATTAATAAATCATTTATTAAGTGCTGATTATGTGCTGGGCACTGTGCTTGTGCCAGAGATAAAAAGATAAAAATGAAACAGTTCTTGCCCTTGAGGAGCTTATATTCTATATTGAGGGAGACAACAGGTACATACAGAATATTGGTATGTACAAAATAAATTCAAGATAATTTCAGAGAGGAAGGCAGTAGCAGCTGGCTGCTGAACTGAGAAAAGACTTCCTTAGAAAGTGGCACATGAGCTGAGTTTCGGAGGAAATGTATTCTAAGAGACAGAAATTAGGAGGGAGTGCATTCCAAGCGTGAGGAAAAATGGCACAGAGATGGGGGGTGAAGTATCACTTGTGAAGAATAGCAAGAAGGCTAGTTTAGCCAGGCCACAAAGTACAGGAAGGAAAATAATACATAAAATGGTAGAAAACATAGAGACCAGGTTGTGAAATGCTTTACTTGCCAAGCAAAGGACTTTATATTTAAATCCTTGCAGTAATCATATTAGCAGTTGTATGGAGGAAGGATTGGAGTAGGAAGAGACTTGAGACCTGGAGAACAATTAAGAGTATTACAATAGTCCAGATGTGAGTCAATGAGGGCCCCAACTAGGGTGGTGGCCTGTGAATAGAAAATAAAGAATGGATATGAATGTTGTGGAGGTTGAGTTGGTAAGGTTTGACAACTGATTGTATATGTGGGGTAAGGAAGGATGAAAAATCAAGGGTAACCCTGAAGTTGTAAAGCTGGCTCCCTAAAAGGATAGCGATGCCCTCTAGAGAAACAGAGAAGTTCAGAAGAGTGGTGGGTTTTGGGGGAAAAGATTTTGTGTTATGTTTTGGACATGTTGTATTTGAGATGCCTACTGTACATCCAAATTAAAATATCCAATAGGCAACTGGGAGTGTATGGCCAAGTTCAGGAGAGATACTAGGGTTAGATATATACAGGTCTGAGAGTGATCTAAATAGAGATGATAATTGATCTTTTTAGAGCTGTTGAAGGCAGAAAGTGAAAGATTGTCTTAGGTTTTTCTAGCCTAGGACAGAGCCTTAGCCAAGATACCTGAGAAGGAAGGCTCAAACAGGTAGGAGAACCAAATAGAAGAAGAGAAACCAGAGTTGTGAAAACACACAAGAGAATATCCAAGAAGAGTGAGTGGTCAACAGTGCCAAATGTTACAGAGAGCTCAAGAAAGATAATGATTGAGAAAAAGCCATCAAATTTGGCAGTTAAGGGATCACCCATAACTTTGGAAAGAACAGTTTTACTTGAATGAAGGCAGAAGCCAGATTGCAAAATGTTGAGAAGCAAGTGATAGAGGAGATGGTTATACAGCAGATAGATTGGGCTTGGAGGCTTACAACCTAGAAATCCTGGATTCCTGACTCTGTCTCATCCCCCAAAACCAATTTGTTGCCAAGACCTCTTGATTTCACCTTTGCAACATCTCTCCAGGTTTTGTGGATCTCTCATGTTTTCTTTCAAATATATTCAATAGTGATTTAACAATCACAACTCCCATTTCCTTCAGTATTCAGGGATGCAGTTCATATGAGCCTAGTGACTTGATTTCATCAAAGGCAGCCGAGTGCTCAGCTAGATGGTACAGTAGCTAGAGCTCTAGATTTGGAGTCAGGAAGATCTGAGTTCAAATCCAGACTCAGATACTTACTAGGTAAAGTAGTCACTTAACCTCTATCTGTCTCAGTTTTCTAATCTCTAAAATGGGGCTAATAATAGCATCTACCTCCCAGGGTTGTTGTAAGGATCAAATGAGATAGTGTTTATAAAGCACTCAGCACAGTGCTTGGCACATGGTAGGTTTTTAATTTCCTTCATGCCATCTCTTGTCTACATGCCTTTGTACATCTTGTCCCTCATCCTTCAAATGTTCTCTCTTCTTACTTCCACTTCTTAGAACCTGTAGTTCCTTTTAAGACTTAGCTCAAAGGCTGCCACATTCAAGGGCCTTCCTGATTCCTCCAGTAGTTATTACACTCCCTCCACTTTCTTTGTATTTACTTTCTATATGGAGAGTAACTTACTTCTAAAAACACCTCATTTACACTGTATCTTATATACTTATAGTTGTTTGCATGTTGTCTCCACCATTAGAATGGAAGCTCTTAGAGAATATCTTTTGGGTCGTGTGACCAGTAAGTTGGAGGACTAGACATTTGCTCTAATCCTCACAACCTCTGAAGCCTTTCCAAAACAAATTATGTACCACAGATAAAGCATCTTTAGCTATCTCCATGGTGATACCTGGAACCCAAAAGAAGCTTTAAAAAGAACACATGAACTAATACCTAATTTGAGCTCACTCAGCAGCCCCTTGTCTACTGACTTTTATGCTACTAGCAGCAAGGCTGCATTAGCTAACCCAAGGACCTGACCAGTGAGCTAGCAACAACATCCAATTCCACACCCTGGTTGTCTGTCTGTCTGTGTCTGTCTGTCTGTCTGTCTGTCTGTCTGTCTCTCTCTCTCTCTCTCTCTCTCTCTCTCTCTCTCTCTCTCTCTCTCCCTCTCTCCCCCCCTCTCTCTCCCCTCTCTTTCCCCCTCTCTCTCCCCCTCTCCCCCTCTCCCTCTCTCCCTCTCTCTCCCTCTCTCCCTCTCTCCCTCTCTCTCTCTCTCTCTCTCTCCCTCTCTCCTCTCTCTCTCCCTTCTCTCTCTCTCTCTCTCTCTCTCTCTCTCTCTCTCTCTCTCCCTCTCTCCCTCTCTCTCCCTCTCTCTCTCTCCCTCTCCCCTCTCTCTCTCTCTCTCATGCTATATAGATCCAGGTTCCAGGCTGAGAAACTTTACTGGCCACAATAGCAAGACAGCACTGCACCAGTATTCTGTACTACAAAAGATCTCTGCAGGACAGCAGAGGAACACAGAGGGGAAAAGAAGCCTATATATCTGGCCTTAGTATAATGACCCCTTATTTCCTGACCATTGCCACCTTCTTCTTCAGAGCCTGAAAAACTCAAATTATGTAAATAAAACCTGAAACACCAGTTTGGCAGCCCTCTGAATTGCCAGTGTAGGTCCAAATAACTGAGGAAGAGAGGGAGACAGTATACCATGGGAGAGACAGAGAGAGTGACTCTGTGACACTCTACTAAGCCAGAGGGAAAGCCCACCATCCAGCTGGGGCCAGTTCTATTCCATCTAAAATCACTTGGAGCAAAACCATGAATTGCCCAGAGTGGGAAGAGGCTGAGATGCTTTGAGATCCAGCCCCCAGGGAAACCATTAGAGGGGAGAGAGGCAGAAAGTGAGCAATAGGGGAAAATAAAGGGAAGAAAGATTGGAATTAACAAAGCTCTCTGGAAAAAATAGTGAAAGATCTCGAACATAAGCAAATAAAAGGAAAAACCTTAATGCAAAAGGAAATATGGCTTTCAGAGCCATTTCAGGCATCTATGAATAAATACTCCAAAATGAAAGAAAATGATTACCTCCTATCAGATAGATAATCTTGCATATAACTAGTTATTTACATGTTGTCTCTCCTATTAGAGTGTGAGGTTCTTGAAAAGATTCATTTTACTTTCTCTATATCCCCAGTACTTAGTACAGTGCCTAGCACATAGTACACTTTAAAAAATTCTTGTTGACTGACTAATGAGGAGCGTATAAAATTAATATAAGTAAATAGTACTATAGGACAAAAATAGGGTTGGAAGACACCAATGTATTGAGGAAAGACTATCATAAGGGGTAGATATATAGATTTTAAAATATAAAAATTAGTTCCTCACTTTTCATCAAGTAACTTAGCATTTACTCTTAAGTCAATAAAATCATTGACTTTTATTTTTAGGAAAAAATTGAAGCCACTTTCTAATGTATGTGGTTTCATTGTTGCTTTTTTTTTAGATTCTTCAAATTGTGTTATTTGTAATCTGTGTCATTCATGATGTAATTTATATATGCAACCCTACTAGAAGGAAGGGACTACCTGTCCACTTAGTGAATGTTCGAGATTGGATGTTCTCAGTGCTAGTATTTCCCATTGGCACAGTAAGTATATTCATCTGAAATATTTTTGATCCTTTTCAGTCAATTTATAAAGAATTACTCAATTAGGAAAATAAAACAGCGTAGAACTTTATAACTTGTAAAGCACTTTCACATGTTACCTTGTTTCACATCTATATAGTACTTGAATATATACAAAATAATTTCATCACAACAACCTTGTGAAATAGGCAGGTTAGGTAATATTATCATCCCTGTTTTGAAGCTAAAAAAACTTGGGCTCAGAGGTTAGATGGTTTGGCCAAAGTCACATTGTAGAAACATTATGGGGTATTAGAAAGAATACTGGGTTTGGAATCAGACAGTGTGGGCTAAAATCCTGGTTCTGTCACTTATTACCTGTTTAACTTAAGATAAGTCACTTAATCTCCCTGAGCCTCAATTTCCTTATGTATAAAATGTAATCTATAAAATGAGGGCGTTGGACTAGAATCTGGGGTGGGGAACCTGTGGCCCTCTAGGTCCTCAAGTGTGGCCCTTTAACTGAATCCAAACTTCACAGAATACATTCTCTTAATAAAAGGATTTGTTCTGTAAAACTGGGACTCAGTCAAAAGGCCCCACCCAAGGACATAGAAGGCCACATGTGGCTTCAAGGCTATAGGTTCCCTGACTAGATGATCTCTAGGGCCACTTCCAACTGTACATCTGTGATCCTACAATTTATACTCCAAAGGTTAAGGACATCAGTGGTGATTATATACAAAATTACTTTTCATGTATATTATGAGCGTTCTTTTCCTGTATTTTGTCTGAAAATCTGCAAAAGAACAATCATAGTTCATTCTATTTCCTTCTGCTTAGTGGATTTGTGTTCTTGGGAAGTGACAAATTGTAAATTTTCATGGAAGGATTATCACATTTCTTTAAGCAAATTTTTTATTTCAGTTTGTAGTTTTTACCTTCTGGATTCTCTATGCCTTTGATCGAAAATTTATATTTAACCAAGAGTTAGATGGAATCTCTCCAAGTTGGGTCAATCATTTCATAGTAAGTAGTATTTTCTTAGCTTGGTCTGATACTCTACTTTCATTTAATACTTTATCATCTAAAACAAAGGTGCTTAATCTGGCATTCCTGAGGGGTTTTTTTAACTTTTTGAGAACTCTGTTTCATCAAAATTGCTTTCCTTTGTGTTTCTGTGTATTTTATGCATTTAAAAAACATTCTTAGAAGGGGTTCATAGGCTTCAACAGACTGCAAAACAGGTCCATGAGACAAAAAGAAAGGTTAAGACCTACTCCCCCAGTCTAAAGGATATGCAATTTATTCTTAGCTTCATTTATTTTTATAAAAAAAAAATTATAAGCTAGTTGACATGACTGCTTTTGTTAATTTTTTTGTTTTAAGTAATATGTCATATTGTGAGCACTAGAAAATGATATATGGTGAAATTGGAAAAAGTATTTCCCTTATTTCCACTATTTATTGAAAAATAAAATATAACTGAATTGACTTGGGGAAATGACTTTAATCATACTTTAAAGACCAATCTAGTCAGTTAGTCAATAAACATTTATTAAGAGCTTACTACTACATTCCAGGCACTGTGCTAGAAATCTTTTTTTTTTTGCTATCAAAATAAAAACAAATCCAATGTTGAAAAGTAATAAGGCAGTACTCTTAAAGAAGTTTTAATAGTAGATATAAGTAGATACTTGAAATAGTCCTGTTTTGAAGCAATGAAGCATATTTATGTTAATCTGTTATGTAGGCCTATTTTTCTGTCCATGTGTCATAGCTAAAGATCAAAAGCAAATTAACCACAAGAGAAAAGTAATTAGTAAAGAATAGTATAACCTGTCACTCAAAGCAGAGAATTTGGATTTACATACACTAAGTTCAGTCTTAGGGAGTTCTCTCTAAAAATCTCATCTTATATTTCCTCTACAACCAGCCCCACACATTTTGCCTAGAAACAATAGAATTTGGTTCATTTAGGTCTGCATAAAGGAGGAAAAAGGCCCACAGTTCTCATGTTTGTGTTACAGTAACTACCTTGGGCCCCACAATCTGAAGGCCAAGATATGTTACATTTCACCCCTCTCTTAAGGTTCTCTGGTACTCTTAAAAGGGTATTGAGGATATGTAAGCTCTATGTCACTGGCTCCAGTCTTCACTGATGATGTTCCCTCAATTTTAGGGGTCCCTTGTTCCCCAGTTCCATTTAAGCCCTTAACAGACTAGCTTTTGCAAAAGAATATTTAATTCAAAAGTATAATAAGAGCATATGGGGGAGCTAGGTGGCACAGTGGACAGAGCACTGGCCCTGGAGTCAGGAGGACCTGAATTCAAACCCAGCCTGAGACACTCGACACTTCCTAGCTGTGTGACCCTGGGCAAGTCACTTAACCCCATTGCCTAGCCCCCCCCAAAAAAAGTGTAAAAAAACCCCCAATATTGCTGTTATTGTGTACAATGTTTTCTTGATTCTGCTCATTTTATTCCTTATTTCATGCAATTATTTCCATGTTTTTCTAAGATTATTGAGATCATCATTTCTTATAACACAGTAGTATTCGACCACAATCATATATATATATACCACAACTTGTTTAGCCATTCCCCAGTTGATGGGCATCCCTGCAGTTTCCAGTTCTTTGCCACCAGAAAGAGAGCTTCTATAAACATTTTAGAACATATAGGTTCTTTTCCTTTTTTCCCCTAATCTTCTTGGGAAATTGACCTAGTAGTGGTATTGCTAGGTCAAAGGGTATAAGTAGTTTAATAACTCTTTGGGCATAATTCTAGCTCGGTCTCCAAAATCGTTGGATCAATTCACAATTCCACCAACAATGAATTAGTATCCCAATTTTTCCATATCCCCCCAACATTTGTTGCTTTCTCCTTCAATCATTTTAGCCAGTCTAGTAGGTATAAAATAATATCTCAAGGTTGTTTTAATTTGCATTTCTCCAATAATAATTTAGAGCATTTTTTCACAAATTGTTTTGATTCCTTCATTGGAAAATTGCCTGTTAATATCCTTTGACAATTTATCAATTGCGGAATGACTCGTATTCCTATAGATTTGACAAAGTTCATTATATATTTTTGATATGAGACCTTTATCTGATAAACTGTCTTTTAAAATTTTTTCTCCAGTTTCTGCTTTCCTTCTGATCTTGGCTACATTTGTTTTATTTGTACAAAACCTTTTTAATTTAGTGTAATTGAAAATATCCACTTTACACTTTGCTTTCTACCTCGTTTACTTATAAATTGTTATAAATGAGTTTCTTTGCTATTCTCTATGTGTGTTCATTGTGAAAGTGGTATTCAGTGGGAAAAGAGTCAAGCCTTGGATATGGAGCTTAGGATCCTCCTTCCTCCCCAAAATGACACAGTGACCAGAAGTTAGCTTGAACCTGACCATATCTCCTAGACCTAAACACTGTTTAAGGGATCAAATAGATATCCTTCTCTCCCAGCCTCTTGCTTCCTCTCCTGGCAAAAATGAAAGCCTACCTTGGAAAAGGGTAGAGAAAGAAGAGGCAAGAGATATCTCCCTCCTCTTAAGCCATACACAATGGCAGGGTTCTTTACCACAGGTAAAGCTACCTTACTACACATTTCAGGTGCCACTTACCCTTCTCTTATTGATATACCACATTTGAAAAACTACCTAGTAATGACCAAAACATCCACAAATTAATTATTTTTGTTTGCTTAATTATTTTATTTTGAATCAGCTAGTTTACTAAGTCTTAAAATTTGGAATTATATTTGAGTTGAATATGTCACATAATTTATACATCTTATCTGATGAGTCCATAGCAAAATGAATAAAATTGGCATTTTTTCCTATTTATATATCATGAATTTTTATTTTTCTAAGCAAATTGACTCAATGCTGTTTCAGATGTATATATATGCATATATGTACATATATACACACATATGTGTGCATATTTATTTTGTACCTATTTCTCAGAGTTTGTCTTTTTTATAATCATCCTAACAGATTTTTTAGGTTGGTAAGCATTCTGGCTAATGAATGCATAACTAATTAATGTTTGTTTTGTTTGTTATGTAATGATTTTGTGGTTTATATTTTATTTCTATTAATTGCTTAGTATTGGTAAGCAAGGGTATTATTTTTGAAAATGATTTGTTCTGCTATATTTTAATTTTTAAGAAATTTTGAAGGATGAGCCAAAAATAAAAAAATTTATTTCTAAAGTTTTCCCAATGTTTATTTTTTACTTCATCTTTTGTTATATAATGCTAATTTTAAAAGAGAGTTTTTCTTTATAAAGAAATTTTAAAATATAATTTCACACATATATCCTTTCCTCTCAATAGCACAAATACTTTTAATTGGGAGAAATAACTAGATTAATCAAAAATAATAGTATTTGATCACTAGGTTAATTCCTCTCCTCCCTACCCCCCAAACCTTTTTACTGACCCAAGGAGACACATACAAAGCACTGAACTTTTAAAAGAAGTGTTCTTATCTTTTTGTGTGTCATAGACCCCTTTGGTAGTCTGGTGAAACTTATGGACACCTTCTTAGAATAAGATTTTTCAATGCATATAATAAAATACATAGGATTACAAAGGAAACTGATTATAATGAAACAAATTATCAAAATATTTTTAAAACAAGCTCATGAACTCCAGTTAAGAGCCTAGGATTTAGAAAATGTGAGTGTAAGGTATCACATTCTTAGAGTTGCCTTTTTACTACTATATGTTTTTCAGAGAAAATATTTGGAAAGTAGAGGAAAGTAGTAAGATTTTAAAGCAACAAAAGTACATCAGATATGATTAGTGTTTTTAGGTTTATATTTCCATACTTATATACTTAATTTTTATTTTCAGCATACAACTGTATTGCCATTACTTCTCACAGAATTGATCATATGTCCCCATAAGTATCCTAGTAGAAAGAAAGGAGTGCTGGGACTTACCATCTTTGCATCTGTATACATTATATGGTAGGAATTACTTTGTTTTCACAAATAATCTAGACTGGTACAGTATTCTGAGATAAATCTAATGTGAAAGTCAAATTATATGCAATGTCAGTATTTGTCTTAATATCATATTTAACTAGATTTGTTCCAAGACCAGAAAGCCACTACATAAAAGAGAGAGGTGACAAAGTACTAAACAAATGCTTAATGTATTTCTTGGGAAGTATATTAAGGATAAGCATTGATTATTAGGATATTCTACTTCTCAAACCATTGTCTAAAAGCAAAAATTTCACCACTTTATTTTAAAAAGCTTTAGAAGTAGAATCTATTGAAGCAATGCTTTACGTTAAAGAATAATATAGATTCACAGTTTTATAAACACTGAAACAAGGGTTTGCTTTGTTTTATTATGTGAATGCCTCAAAAAACCCATGATTTTACATCATGTATAGATCTTCCTACCATATACATTGCAAGCCCCTCCCCCTTATCTTAGCATACAATTTCATAACTTGCTGTGGCCAAAAAAATGCATCGTAAAGAGAAATCAATCTGGAAATAATAACTGTATTGTGAAATAATAGCTATATTATGAAGATATTTAAATGCCAAATAGAGGAATTTGTCTTTTATCCAAGAGCAATAGGGAGCAACTGTAGGGTCTTTTTTCCTTTTAAGCTGGAAAGTAACATAGTCAAACCTGTGCTACAGCAACATCACCTTGAGCAGTGAATGGTGGATGGATTAGAGAAGGGAGAGACTGGGAGAAGGTGATTGAAAAGGGGCAGGGAAAGCAATTGTGAGGCTATTGCAACTGTCCTGGAAAGATGTGATAAGAGCATGAACTAGATTGGTTGTGAACTATGTAGAGAGGATGAGAGATTTTGTGAAAGCAAATTTGGCAAGACATGGCACAATGAGACTGAACATTTGAGGATGACTGCAGGGATATAAATTTAGATTAAGAAAATTAAGTAAGTTAGGAAGAAGTTTAGAGGGAATAGTAGTAAGTTCCATTAATAATTTATTCCATTAGAACCTGTGATTGTTTTATCTGAGATGATATATTGCCTATCTGGTCATCTTCTTGGTAGCTAAATTAGTGTTACCCTTGAGGAAAAAAAAAGTGAGCTAACAAATTAATCTCTCTTATCTAAATTGGTAGTATCAAATAAATAATTGTTCATCTAAACAAATGTCAAACTCTAAAGTGATTATTATATATGTAATACCTCACTGTTTAGTCACATGTTATAAAGTTGGTTATAAAGTGGCAAACTGAATTTTTTAAAATTACAGGCACTTATTATTTCAAGTTATCTTATAATTTTTATATATAATAATTCAAATACTATTAAATTGTTCTATAAATCTGTCAGAGTATCTTTAAGTGGGATGTACTTATATCTTCTATTTGTATACCATACTTTTAATAGTAATGTTAAGTAATAATAGAAAAAAGAAAATGGTTACATTTCATCTCATGGTAATTAAAATGATTACTTTTTTTTTACAAATGAATAGGATTATTTCACAATTTAAGCATCTGTATTTAGCTTAAAAGATAGGAATATAATCTTATATTGCTATAGTTTCCTTATTCATCCAAGTAACTGGACTGAATGCATTAATAATAACAACAAGAATTTATATGGTGATTTAGGATTTGCAAAGCACTTTGCATATATTATCTCATTAATACCAACAACAACTCTATGAAGCAGATGCTATTATTATTCCCATTTTATAGATGAGGAAACTGAAACACAGAAAGGTGAAGTGACTTGCACAAGGTCACACAGCTATTTGAGGCAGGATTAGACATCAAGGTCTTCCTTACTCCAATTCCAACATTCTGTCCACTATACCTACCACCTAACTGTCAAGATAGTAATAGTTATGATTTACATAGTGTTTTAAGATTCACAAAGCACTTTACAAATATTATCGTTCTTCTTTTATCTTTATAACAACTCTAGGAGAGAGATGCTATTAACATCCCCACCTTACAGATAAATTGATTCAGAGGTCATGTGCTATATAATTTTAATTGGACTAATATCTCAATATTATTGTACTATTTCAGAGGTGTTGTGAACCACATTATAATGATGCTATTGGGAAGATCAGCCCATGCTTTACATAAACACAGTATATGAGGCAGCTATACATGTTGTTCATTGTAGGATGTGATTTAGAGTCATAGGATTTTAAAGCCAGCAAAGTACCTTAGATATCATCTAGTCCAGTTCCTCTCCTCTTTATTTTACAGAGGAGGAAACAGAGAGCCGGTGAGGTTAGATAACTTGCACGAGGTCATGAAGCAAATTAATAACAGTGCCAGAACTAATATTAACAGTAGAAATCTATCTTCCTAGGGCACATATCTAGAACATGACTGAAACCTGTGAAGACTTCTCAACCCTGATAACTTCTGGTAATTCATCTGGGCACAAATAATGTTATTTCCAGAAGGAGTCTAGGAGGCTAAGGATTATGAAGTCTTGGGCAAATAAGTGAAGACCTTAGGGATGGGTAGTGTTTTAATCACAGCCACCAAACATAGGCAAGGAATCCTAAAAAGAAAGATGGATTTGGGAAAGGGCCTATTTATTTACCTGATAACAGTATGAAATCAGGAAAAGAGATGCAAGGATATATGAGAGAATCTCTGAAGACCTGTCAGAAGAGATGACTACTACCTATTTGTGGGTAGAGTCATGTAGGCATTGTTGGGACGATTAGAAGGAACCTAGAAAGCACTGACAAAGTTGATATAAAGGCTTGAGCAAAAAAAAACCAAACAAACCTGAATATTATAAGAGCAATTGCCTGTTGAAGGTAAAATATAAAGGAGAGGGAAGCTAGATGGCACAATGGATAGAGCACTGGCCCTGGAAGTCAAGAGGACGTGAGTTCAAATGCAGCCTCAGACACATGATACTCACTAGCTGTGTGACCCTGGGCAAGTCACTTAACCCCAGTTGCCTGGCCAGAAATAAATAAATAAAAACAAACAAAAACACAAAGAAGAGGAAAGCTGATTCAGAAAGTTAACAGCTAATTAAGAGGAGGACTTACTAGCTGTGTGACCCTGAGCAAGTCACTTAACCCTGATTGCCTTGTGGGGGAGGGAGAAAGAAAAGGAAAAAAAATCTAGAGGCAGCTAGGTGATGTGGTGGTTAGAGCTCCAGCCTCGGAGTCAGGAGGATCTGAATTCAAATGCGGCCTCAAACACTTGACACTTTTAACCTCACCTAACCTCAGTTTTCTTGTCTGTAAATGAGGATAATAATAGCACTTACCTCCCAAGGTGGTTGTGAAGATCAAATAAGTTAATGTATATAAAGTTCCCTACAAATTTTTAAATGTCATATAAATGTTTCATTGTTGTCTTTTGTAATCAAAAAGACCAGAATGACATGATTATGTCATGGTTAATGTACAGTGTGTTTGACTATGGTTGATCAGACCAGTATGAACTCAAAATGCTCTACCATAGGTCAGGCTCAAATAGTCCTTATGAACATTTGGAATGGAGATGTCTCAATTTTTGAATCTCCCATTTCTTTTGAGCTACTGCAGTTCTGCTTTGCTCATTGAGCAGAGTGCCTTCTTTGATGCTAGTACACTGTGCTGGATGGTCCTGTGCCAGTGTCTTCCATATCTTACAAGCAATTCCAAAGTTCTTCTGACCTTAAGAGTATCCTTGTATGGCTTCTTCTGACCTCTTTGTGAGTGCTTGCCTTGTAGGAATTCTAGGTAAAATGGTCTTTTAGGCAAATATATATTTGGCATTTGACCATGACCAGCCCATTGGAGTTGCATTTTCTGCAGTAGGGTTTGAATACTTGGCAATTCAGCTCCAGAAAGGACCTCATTATCTAGTATCTTATCTTGCCAGGTGATCTTTAGAATATTCCTAAGACAATTCAAATGGAAGTGATTCAATTTCCTGGCGTAGTGCTGGTATACTGTCCAGGTTTCACATGTATACAACAACTAGGTCAGCACAACAGCTCTGTAGACCTTCAGTTTGTTAGGCAGTCTCAACCACACTTTCCTTCAGAGCCTCCCAAACACTGAGCTAGCTCTGGCAATGCATGTGTTAACCTCTTCGTCTATGTGTATGTCCCTGGAAAGTCCACAACATTCAAAATTTCTCCATTTGCTGTAACTGATGGTTCTGGGTATGGATGATTCTGTGCTGGCTGGTGGAGAACCTCTGCTTTCTTAGTGTTAATTGTCAGGCCAAAATTAGCACAAGCAGCAGAAAAGCCATATTCTGTTGCATCTGAGCCTCAGAGAAAGTTTCACATCTCCCTCCACTTTAATCTTAGCTTGTAACCTTTTTGAGTTAAATATTTTACCATCAGTGCAGTAGTTGATCTTGATGCAGCTTTCATCCTCGTTGAAGGCATCTGACAACAGCGCTGAAAACATCATACTAAATAGGTTGGGAGCAAGTACACAGCCTTGCTTCACTCCACTGGTGACTGGGAAAGCACAAGAGCATTTTCTATTATCCAGAACACATACAAGTATGCCATCATGGAACTAGCATACAATACTGGTGATCTTCTCCAGGCCACCAAATTTTTCCATGATTGTCCACAAGCCCTCAGTGACTGACAGTATCTAAAAGGCAGATTGATGAACGTTGTGTATAGATCTCTGTTCAGCTTCTGGCATTAGTTCTGGAGTTGTTGGGCAGCAAACATCATATCTACCATTCCTTGACCCTTTCTGAAGCCACACTGACTCTTGGGTAAGATGTCCATCTTCCAGGCAAAAGATCAGCTGATTAAGAAGAACTCTAGCAGGAATCTTGCCAGCAATGACTAAGAGATAATCACCACCCCACCTTCCACCCTTCTACTCCACCCCTGCCCTCCCCCAATTGTCACAGAACAACCTATTTTCTTTTCTTTTATAAAGATGGACAACGGAGGCATCCTTGAACCCATGGAGGATACGTCGTCTTGCCATATAACTCAGAAGATTTCAGTCAGCTTTTG